GCGGTTCTACCTTACTATATTTTTATCATGGTAATAACACACTCGATGGCGTTTCAAAAGTTAGCTGGTATTTTTATTTTATGGCGTTCTAAATTTTTAATGGCCCGGTCTAAGTAGTTTTCAAAAAGTGGAAAAAAAAATTTTTTAATAAATGTCCGAGCAAAAAAAATATCATAGGAAATATTTTCGTAGAACATTTTGGCCCATTACCTCACGCCTGAAACCGGCGTTTTACTTCTTAGTTACTCCAATAAACCCCTAAGAAGAAAATTTGGAATTACGTTAGAGAAGTGACATGTTTATTCTTCGGAAAATTTTACCAGGGATCTTCTGAGGCAAAAACTTCATGTCACCAACGTAAAAGTCTAAAAATTATATAAAAAATTAATGCTAATACGGAATAACAGCTGAGTTCAATTTTAAAAAATGTTTGTTTGCGCCTGCATATATGTACATACGTATCGTCGTTTAAAGTACAAAACCGCGTATCGTAATTCTGCAAAACCGCGTAACTGACATTGGCTGCCGAAAATTGGATTTGCTCACACAAGCTCTTTGCTCAATCCTTATCCATTCGTCCTGAAATATACTAGCCAGAAATGCGATTGCTTTATAAAAGGAGAACCATTTTAAAAAATGGGTGTTTTACGCTCTAGAAAATAATTTCTACAAGTTCAATTACGCGGTTTTGCATTTTTGCTGATACGCGGTTTTGCATTTTGTTGATACGCGGTTTTGCACTTTAAACAACGATATGTAGAGAAAAGTCGGCCGCTGTGGTGCAGTCGTTAGCGGTCAATTAAAAATGTCAAAAAAATTATAAAAGTTGACAGACGGTGAGCCTGAATGTGCATTACTTTGCTTTGTTTTATTTCAATGAATTAAAGTATTTTTTAGATTTTTTCATTGGGCGGGGTTTTAACGTGGCGGGACCCAAACCCAGCTCACGCGAAGTTTTACGCCTACTCACTTTAGCTCGCTCCCAAACGGGTGTTTGGTTGCTGCCCAGAGGATACATGGATATAAATATCCGGACGTTGTGAGCTGCGATTTGAACTCTCCGCACAAGAATCGCTTCTGGCCACTCCCAGGTGAATGGCAGTCAGAAGTTTCCCACTTCTGCGCACGGAACCATCCTCCACTTCTGCGCACGGAAGAAGAAGAAGAAGAAGAAGAAAGTAATTTTACACTTCGAGCTTCTCAACCCTAGAATCATAAGATATGTACGTAAGTTTTAAAACTAAAGAATTATTTATATTACTACGTTAAAATCAAAATGTTTAGCAATCTAACAGAGCAATTCTGGCTGCGATAGTAAAAAGTCTTTCGTAAGACAAATGAAAGACATATGCCAAGATAGCTCGAAAGACTTTTGCTATTCTAGCACAAAAGTCTTAAGGCGCAGTTAGTCAACGACGTAGCGTAAACGTAGGTTGACGTACGTAGCAGCATATCAAATTTACTGTTGATAGAGAGAGGGAGAGGCAATGGCAACGTCGCCGTCATGCGGTGGTGAGTTTTCGTTAACACGCGAATCCCATAAGGTAGATCGTGTCTACGTCAACCTACCTACGTCTACGTTACGTCCTTGACTGTTTGAGCTTTTAGAAAAAAAGCTCTCTCATTCACCACTCGTGGCACTCATTCACCACTCGTGAGAGATAGCACTTGCATATCTGCTTGCGCCGCTTCAACTATCGCAATGGCCGAGTGAACAAGGAGTAGGCGTGCAATTCGAGAGATCCGAGTTCGAGTCCTCGTGCAGTGAATTTTTTGCGTTTTTTTTTATATTTATATTTTTTGCTTTTAAATTTTATTTAATGTTTAAAAACTTATTTTATGTATCTTTTATTTTTTTCAATTATTTTGTTTTGCAATTTATTTTTTTTATTTTATTTTAAAATGCTATTCTTTTAAAAGGAAGAATATTTTTTTTTTTATTTTACTCGAAATTTTAGGAACTTGTTTAACTTTTTTCGGCTTAAATGAATTCTTTTTAATTCCCTTTTGATTTTTGGATTGTATTGTAAACTTATCATATATTTTTTTTATTGAATTTGTTTTCTTTTAAATAAAGTTCTTTAATTTTTAGAATTTGTTTTAAAAATAGAAAATGTTTTTTTTGTTAATTTTGTTAATTTTTAAGCACTATTTTCTTATTTTTTGATTTAATGTTATTTCTTTTTCTAATTTTTTTTAAGACGCTATTGTTAAAAAAAAAATATATATATTTTTTTTAATTTCATTTAAATTTTCAAAATATATTTATTTTATCTGACTTTGTTTTCATTTAATTTTATTTGCTTTTTTAATTTAATTTTCTTCTATTCCTTAGTTTTTATTGTTTCAAAACGTAAAATATATATACTTTTTTTAAATTTAATTTAATTTTTAAAAAACTTTTTGATAAAAGGCGATCAGCATAACGTTAAGACCTCCTGAACTGAAAGATAGTCTCCAAAATTGCGCTGTAAGTGGCATTTTCTGAAGTAGTTTTTAAAATTTATTCGCCCATCAAACACTTTCTTTAGAACGAAATTTGTGTTTAAAGCCAAATAAATTTTAAAACCTACATGAGAAAATGGCTCTTAATGTATCAAACCATTACATAATTCACATGCATACACATTCATATGAAGTCAGCAAAATGATCACGCTACGCTGTGCTAAAATTCTAAAATTTTTATGTGCGTTCAAATGTCAAAATTGAAAACACATTGACCCCGGGGGCACAGCCATATGCACAGAACGATCATCAAGCTTCCGAAACCTATCAGCAATTTGCCGCTGTGTGTATAATCCAAGAAAATCTGCCGTAAATGATAAAAGTTTTCCCATCACCCGCTTGCCAAAGGAACTGAGCAACGGTATCTCGGTGCGAATTAAGATAGGTACTTGGCCGCTTGGTTGAGAATATCCCTTTTCGAAATTTGTCATTACAAAAGCACAGCCACGTTAACAAACACACAACGTTGCCCATAAAAGTTAGCCAAACGATGGATGGGCAGTTTCAACTTTCTCCTTTTGTGGTTGCGCCACGTATGAGCGGGTGGATGCACGCTTGTGTGAGTGTGCGTTCGTATACACGCCCGTATCCCTGAGTTATGGCAATTTTTGTTGGCATTTATTGGCATCAAAGAGCAACTTGAGACATCGAAATGAAAAATGTCACCAGCATAAGAGCAATACTGGCTGGCCGCCTGACTGGCAAAGCACTCGCATATTTGCCAAACAAACGACAACACCAACAACATATTGCTTTGCAAACCAATAACCAATGCGGACTTCAATCTCAAGATGTCAATGCCAATGCTATAAACTGGTTTTTACAAGAAATCGGAATTTTTTTAGAATTAAAGTTAAAGTTTTGGCCAAACTTGTTGACGAGTTCGACGGAGCTTCGATTCGAACTTTGCTCTTTGTTTGCAGAAAGTAAATAGACGTGCTTTTAAAGTATACAGTCGCATGCGTACTAATACATCCATGTGAATATCTTCTGCTGAGTATGTTTGTGGATAAATATATTTGTGTACGCATTAGAGCGCAACTAATAAGTTGAAACGCGTTGAAATGTGCCATGCCACTGCATGATTTGCCTTGGGGGCTAAGATAAATATTTTCTTATCCTTTTTGTGGTTTAGTGTGGTCGTAAAATTATGTGGCAAAATGCTACATCATTTTTATTGCCCACTAGCAAAACGTAGGCTTGCTGTGGAGCCCAAGATTTAATGGAATACAAATATGTACATATGTATGTGAGTGTGTAATAAATCCTAAGTACATATTTCAAAAATTGAAAAAAAAAATGTTACTAAGAAACCAGAGTAAAAGGGATGAATTATTTTGCCAGTAGGATAAAAAAATTTTCGATGTTAATAAATTTATCCCATATATCTGCTGTCAACCTTAAAAAAGCAGCGCAGTTTCTTTATGCCTACTTTTACTCCTAAACATACAAATATTTATGTTTACCAGCTGTTTTTGATGTGTAAACATTTTAGTTCTCGTTATGGGTAAAATTTGCACTAGCCCAGCAGAAAATTTTTATTTGCTTCTTGTGTAACGCAGTATTAAATCTGTAATTGATTTTTGTTTGTACACGACTAGCAAAGGATGATTTTAGAACTAGTTCTGCCCATTTTGAGATACTTCAAAACTATTTTAAGAACATTGCAGGTCTCCAATCGTGATCATTTTGAGACAAGCTTAAGGCCATTTGCGGACAAGTTCAGAACTATTTAAAAACCAATTTGCGACTAGTTAAATATAATTTTGGGACCAATAAAGGACCACTTCCGGACTGTTTCAAGACTTGTTCGAGATTATTTCGGGACAAATTCCCAACATTTTTGCCCATTATGGGATCTGTTCAGAACTATTTCAGCACCAATTCGGAGCTATTTCAGGAAAATTTCTGGACTAGTTCAGGGCCATTTTGGAGAATGCTTTAGAAATATTTTAGGACCATTTCTGGATATTTCACGACTAGTTAGGGTTAACTTTGGCACTAGTTCGGAGCTTTTACCTACCGCATTCGGGACTAGTTCATGACAATTTCAGGCCTATTTCGGGCCTAGTTCTGAACCATTTGAGACGGGTTCAGGGTTATTTTAGGACTGGTTTGGGTTACTTTCGAATTTAGTTTAGGACCATTTCGAGGCTTATTCAGGACTATTTAGGAACATTTTGCTATAGCGCACGCCTATTTAAAAAAATTTAAAGTCTAGTTTACGACTATTTCAAGAATATTTCGCGACTAGTTCGGGATAATTTTTTGCCTAGTGCAGGATAATTTCGGGACAAATTTCCGTAGTGGTTATCAAAAAGTCGTTTCTGGTATTTACAAAATGAATATATTGAAATGAAATTAACGTTTAATTTCCAACCTAACCTATTTATATACACACATGCTAATCCATACACAGATATTTATACATCAAATTTCATGAGTACCTGGTACTTAAGCCTTTTTTTTAACCCATTTCAGCTTTCCACTTGTATTCCAACAAAACCGAAGAACGCATTGAAGATGACACTCTGGCTGTGAAGTATGAGGATGGTCGTTGGTCCAAGCCGTACTATGACTGTGGTGGTGGCAATATTTGGATGCTGACTTATACGGTGCCATTTTTTGGTTACGAAAATGGAACTTATCATTTCAAGTGAGTTGGATTTTATCATTCGTAACATACAAACAAGTGTAAACCACGTTGATATTATAATCAAAAATATTTTAATTTGCATACTTTTTTTAAATTGTAAGTAAGCTTTGCGATTTCTTCAACTAAACGGAATTTTTAATTTTTTAATGAATAACTATAATGAAATTTGAATTAGCGTGAAAATATTCATTTTTAAAATATTTTCCTTCCATTATTCAGGAGTTCTTTAACAAAAATACATATCTGAACATTCAGTGGATTAATAGCTGCTCACAAAATTTCACTGCTCAAGCTTTCGGTGTAAAATCACATATCGGAACAATTAGTTAGTAGTGCGAGCTACATAACATAGGTACTTACGTATGCAACAAACATTGTCTTCCACCAACATATGTAGATATTATCGAAATTCACAAGGACATTTTTTGATAGAAAAGACTCATGTCCAAAACGATTGGACTGCTTTCAGTTTCCGGGCATAGTGCAGAGGACTTTTTTAAAAATATTATTTGCGATTTTTTTTTTTACTATTTTAGGGTTTTCTTTTAGCCTTTGCGACTAGAAACAGTTCAGATTTATATTTGGGAATCCTTTTATGGGCCCCAAATGAAAAATATCTTTCCCATCCATTGTACAAAACTGAAATGAATTTGGTGCCAGCAAATTTTGGGAAAGCGCCCATAGCCGCTTTTAATTTTCCTTTTCAACGTTTAAAATATCTTGCGTATAAGAACCAAGTAGGGCTCAGGTCCTATCGGGGTCGAGGTTGCCGCCATTCTGGCTAACTGATGACCTTTTTCTTTTCCTTCGATAGCATTATCCTGAGACAGCGCTTTAAGCTGCTCTATTCACTCCAAGACCAATGAGGAGTTGACCTCGCGAGAGATCCAACGGAGGCTAATATCTCTGCACACAGACTAATTGCGAAGACTTTCGCTTGGAAGCTATTTGAGTAGGTTCTTAGAGTTTCAGAAGAGGGCTATGTACGCCTTCTCCAGTACCCTTAGCGGTCTTAGAGCAGTCTGTGTACCACCATAACAGAAGTCTTAGAAAACTTCTATTCAAAGCTAAAAAAGCTAAATAATTTTAAGAAAAAGCTAAGATAAAAGATAGAAGTTAAACAGGAATTTTCCGGTCAAAGCCAAATAAAAAAAACTAAATCTAGCCGAAAAATCGCAAAACTGCTAATAACTCTGGTTCTATTAGAGGCACACATTCAGTTTCGGTGTAATTTTCAAGAGTATGATATGCATATGGAATATAGTACTTTAATGTAATTTTCAAAAAACAAACGGTAAAAAACTTACGTGAAAAAAATCAGGAAACTTAGTTCAATTTTAAAAATCCACAATAACTACTTCATACATTTTTTTTATTCTAGTCTTTGAATGGCACGTACTTAGGTGGTACTATATTTTTATAATACTTATAGACTTGGAGAAAAAAAAGCTGTGCTGCCCGGCGACTCGGACTCGAACTCGGATCTCTCAATTGGCAGTCTAGTGCTTTGCTCACTCGGCCATTGCCACTGCTGGGCAGTGTGAGCGAAATGGTATACATAAATGTCTATTGATTCCTTTGCACCAGCTGATTTCGAATCACCATTCGAAGCTGGCAACGATATTTTCGAGTTCACTCGGATTCAATGATAGCAATTTTTTCATACTCGTAGCAGCCATTCGTAGCAGAGTTCGTAGATTTTCTACGATGGATTCCGTGATAGCCCTGATTATCGTTTCTTTTGAAAAGTACCCAAAAGGTGTAGCATTTTTGACCATATACTATCTACGAAACTAAATATGCATAATCAGAAATATCGTATATGTCCCTAGGTTTGTCTATGCTATGTTTGTGTATGTGTTTTTGTTTTGTTGAATTTACTTTAACCACCTAGTGCAATTAGAACCGAAATACAGTAAGCACTTAATTAATTTTAATCAATTGAAAATATTTATTATAATTCAATCAACTGGTAAGCATGAAATTCCAAATATCTTATCTTTCGATACTCAACTCAATTAAGCCAATTTCCTTGTTGTTATAGTACTGTAAGTGCATCGAGGTTAATTGAAAATAATTGGCTTTAATGCAAAACACGTTTATGCGAAAAACGCTATGAAATACGAGTAACTAATTTGTTCCCGTCAATTGTTTTTGTTATTCTGTTTATTTCCGCAAATGTTGGGAACAGATTAACTCTGCCTACAACAAACTCCCAGTTAGTTGGAATTTATGAGATGAAAAACAGAGATAGCTTGTGCATGAGGGTGGTCCAAAACTGCATGTGAAAAAGTAAAGTCGGAATTTTAATGCTCTCACCACCTAGGATTGTTCTATAGCAAAAAAATATACCCCAAGTCTTTCATTTCCAAGTATTTTGTATGGGAAAAAACTTTTCGTAGAAATGGTATAGAATTCAATAAAAAAAATCTATAAAAAATTGGGAATCTTCTGAAGAGAAACAGAGTTCCGATCGAAAAATATTGATTTTCAAGAATTGTATACCAATTCTACGAAAAGTTTTTTTTTTATTTCCATATAAAATACATGGAAAACTTTGGGGGCTTTGAGCGCCCTCTAAATATTTTTTTTTTTATTTTAAAACAAAAAAAAAATCATGTTTAATTTTTCGATATAGAACAATTGTATGGAGTGAAAGCATTAAAATTCCGACTTGACTTCTTTTGGACCACCCTGTCGTATATAACCGTAGTATACACTCCTCATTTCCAGTTGATTTATGTATAGTTTAATTTGAGTTGCATGGACTATGTTAGTTTACGCTGCCAATGGTGTACATGCTTGTCATAGCAGTCCACAAAATTCCATGTGCAAAATAAATAAAACATCAACAGTGGAAAAGCGCATTCCTAGAAGCGAATATAGAATACTGCATAAATTATACAAAACTAGTTGCGAAAGGGGAAAAAAAAATTACATTATACTTCAAGACAATCTCCTACATACAAACACACAATTGAAATGCTAGAAATGCAACAAAATAAAAACAAAATTGGCAACACTAAACTTTTTCTCATTTGTAAACTTCCCTCTCCATGCCATCGCTCTCTTCTAAAGCTACCCCTAAGCTGACAGACAATACCATCGCGCAATTTTCCCAACTGTCAACAACACTGCCGCTTTCGCTTGCCTTACACACCAACGCCCTCTCTACCAAAACTTAGCCAAAGGCTTAAAGCAAGTTTGATTCCGTTGGCGTTGGAAAATGGATGGGGCGTCGTTCTCCGCCAACATATCCGTAGTAACGAAGGAAAATCAAAAAAAAATAATAAACCACGCTCATTTCCACAGTTCGCGCCCAGCTTCCGTCGCGTTGATCTCGCTTCCGTTTCCACTTTGTCTTTCGTGCAGCTCTGATTTCATTCCTTTCGCCCACTCAATTCTTGCCATGCGATTTCTGGTTTCATTTATGGTTGCTAAAACTATTGTTGCCATGTTGCTACCACCACTGTTGTTGCGGCTGGCAGTGGCACTTGACGACATTTAACTCCCTGGCCCCCTTAATGATTATAACCAACGCTCTTCCTCGCTGCCACCCGCCACCCGCCAGCCGGTGCTCGGCGCTTTGCTTTTCCAGCAGCATTGCAAGTGTGTGGGTGTGTTCTGTTGCCAGCTTGAAACTATTGCGGTCTCGCCACTATGTGGTGAATTGCGTTGTTACTGGCAATGTTAAGCGGACTCCTCTCTGACTTCCCTGCAACCTGTCGTTAGCTGTTGGTGT